GTCAAGAATCCACACACTACCCGGCTGGCCCTAAGCAGACCCACTAGGGCCAGGTCCCCTTTCTGGTAACAGGAGGATGGAGTGAGAACGCTGATGGAGCACTTAGTGCTGCTCCTGGCATGACCCTGTCCCATAATCTGCCTGGCAGGACAACCGCAGGCCTGGGATAAGGGTACTTGGATCATAGCATCGGGATTATGAAGACAGGCTTTCCTCCCTAGGCAAGCTTGGAGATGAAAAGAGCTTGCTGTAGCTGAAAGGTCCAGTTTGGGGTTTCTTAAGATGGTAGAATCCAAGGTTTCTAGGATTGCAAGAGACGCTGGGGTTCCTCTAAGACGGAGAGGAAGGCAGTTACGTAGCAGGAGAGTGAAAAAGGAGTGAACCCGGCAACCTCCACAAAGCGCCACACATGGGGAGATGTGAGGTTTTGGTGGGAGTGCCTGGCAGCCAAGAATAGGAGAGGACTGGGTGGGGTATGTGAGCCTGCTCACTGCTCAGGTAAACAGTTAACCATTCACCTTGGGTCAATTCCTCATTCCCCCTGGAGGGGATGCTGGTGACTTCAGAAACTAGACGGACTTGGTCCCAGTTGCCCTAATCTGGTTACAGCCAACCCATGTTTCCTCCAGGGTCTGGCACAGAAACCAAAGGAAGGGTCTGCAGATCTGGGCCCCGCTGGTTCCTTGGCACAGCTGCTCTGTCCTCTTCCCCGATGAGATAGCGAAGTCAGGGCTGGGAACCCGTGGGCCCCAGTTAGGAAGAAAACATCAACAATCGAAATTACAGCCTGGAAGAACTGCCTCCGTCTGCAAGTAACTGGGCAATTACCTTCCATTAAGCTCTCGTTAATTTGTTTTCTGAGGGTTACAGTACAGTCCTGGGTGGGTGTACCCACCCTGCTGATCACCAAGGTGTTGAAGAAGATTAAGTCTTTCAAATGAATCATGGTGGAACTCTTCCACCTGGTTAACTATAATAGCCGTACTTATCCAGCAGTATGAACCAGGCCCTTTTATCTTTGGAGCCGTGGGAGGGATTGCAGGGTTTTTATTTTGAGTCCTGTTTCAGGGGAGGAAGAAGAGGAAGCACCAGGAGGGGAAAAGAGACACAAGGCAGAATTCAGGCCAGTGTTTTTCAAAGTGTGGTCTGTGGCTGGATCTCTCTTGCCTATGAATCACTTACTATTAAACAGGCAGAGTCCTGAGTCAGAAACTTTCCAGGTGATTCTTACAAATACTCGGGTCTGAAAATCTCAGGTAGAAGTGGAAAGCCTTCTGACATTGGGATATTACTGACAGTGATAAATGAGGTACACAGGCAGCATCATTTCAGCCCATAATTTCTAAACCCACCCCAGAAGATCTTTCACGTTAGCATGAAGCTGGGTAAAGCTGGACTGTTTCATGTTACACTTCATCCATCTACTAGTACAGCTGGTGGTGCAAATAGAAAAGATGTCTGGCCCAAAGGCTAGAAGTCAGAGATGAAAAAGCTTGTTTCATCGGCTAGAATCATCAAAGGCTGACGTCTTAGTTTCAACTTCCTGCTCTCAGGTGTTGTAAATGCTGATACACAGTCCCTTTATCTTCTGATAACGAAGGTGAACATAAGTGATCTCCAGAAATGGTTCACACGTGGTTCCCAGGTTCTTGAAAAACCACAAGTGATTGGCAAAGGTTTCTGTTACAGACAAAAACTCAAACAAACAGCTCATTTCCTTCAAGGGCTCCTCAGGGCAGTGGCTGGCAGCCTGAATGCAGTAAGGAGGGAAGTCTTCCTCTCCCTCCCCCCACATCTTCTTCCCCTTTCTGATGTCAGATTTTTCTGACACTATGGAGTCCAAACTGGGGGAAAGAAACTATTGATAATGAATGGGACTCCCACCCTCACCCCACCTCTGAGGTCACTGCCCTCTCAGAGTTGGTTACAGACATTTCATTTTATTCATTTCAGAAAGCCCAGGGGCCACAAGGCTCTAAATCAATGTCTTGTAAGGCATACATTACATTGAACTTCGTTCAGTGTGCTCCGGGGAAATGCAGACTTGGGTTCTGATAGGATTCTGTTTACAAGTAGCCTGGGTAACTCTGGAACAGGTGGGAGTGACCCACACATTTTTACTTTTTTTTTTTTTTTATGGAACGCTTCAGCAAGGAGTGACCCACACATTTTTACTTTTTTTTTTTTTTTTAAGAAATAATCTTTTTAAAAAAATGGTATTTTTTTTTAGAGAGAGGAAGGGAGAGAGAGAATGAGAGAGGGAGAGAATGAGAAAGAGAAACATAGATGCAAGAGAAACATCGATCAGTTGCCTCCCACAGGTGCCCCCTGGGGCATCAAACCTGAAACCTGGGTATGTGCTCTGACCGGGAATTGAACCCATAGCCTTTTCATGTACAGGATGATGCTCCAACCAACTGAGCCACACTTTAAAAAAAAAAGAAGAGATTTATTGAGATATATTTCACATACCACAATTCATCCATTAGCATAGTCAATATTTTTAGTATTTTTTAAAAATATATTTTATTGATTTTTTACAGAGAGGAAGGGAGAGGGATAGACAGTTAGAAACATCAATAAGGGAGAAACATCAATTAGCTGCTTCCTGCACACCTTCTACTAGGGATGTGCCCGCAACCAAGGTACATGCCCTTGACTGGTATCGAACCTGGGACTTTTCAGTCTGCAGACTGATGCTCTATCCACTGAACCAAGCCAGTCAGGGCAATATTTTTAGTATCGTATTACTCCTAAAATGTTGCGGTCCAGCCCCAGCAGGTCCAGGGGTTCCCAAAGGTGTGGACGGAGTCGGCGAAGAATAAATGACACGGAGGCAGCGTTCAGTTGATCAGCATGGTTGGGTTC